CTCCTTACCCGGCAAACTTGCCTGCTAAAATTGCTATTTTTCCTTTTTCCGACCATCATCTGTTCTGCTGTGCCAGGAGATTTAGATTAGCTAGGAAGCAGAAAATGGTTGGATCTCTTGCTTTCTAGCTAGTCTTTAGATCTTCAGCTCTGCTTCCCTTAGGACTGAAGGTTTGCTTGCAAGAAAATTCAGTGCAGACTCACAGCAAGCAAATTTGAGAGACTGAGCTAGCCGGTGGCAGATAGATAGATCACTGAATGATTCTGTGAGCAACTCAATCTGCCTGCCTGCTTTGTCTGATTTTGGGTAAAAGTTGCTCTTTTTTATTAAAAAATTCAATATTTACATGCATGGGGTGTTGTGAGTTAATTTTGTGGGTTAGCTTGCTGCCAAATTTTATGAGTTTGCTTGCAAGCAAATTTTGTGTGACAGATTGAACTAGCCAATGGCAGATAGATAGATTTCTGAATGCATCTGTGATTCTGTGAGCAAGTCAATCTGCCTGCCTGCTTTGTCTGATTTTGGGTAAAAGTTGCTCTTTTTTATTAAAAAATTCAATATTTATATAAATATTTATAATATCTACATACAAGCCATGCCCAGCCAGTCACACGACCAAGCCACACCCACAAATTTGGCCATGCCCACAGAACCAGTTAGTGGTCCCTGGGATCTAAAATTAGGAGTTTGGTGGTCCCTGAGGTCCAAAAGGTTGGCGACCCCTGAACTAGAGTGCCCAATTGAGATTGAGTATTATGGAAGCTGCTATCCAATATAGCTAGTCAAACCAATTACGTGTTGAATTTTGACCAAGGACATCTGGGTTCAAATCCTTCTCTTATTCATGAAATGAATTATTTATTATTTGTTATAATTAGTTTATTATTCTCTTATTCTATATTTTGCATATTGAAGCTGAGGAAGTTTGGTCACGACATTTCTCTTTTGTTCTTAAAATGTAAAGCAATCTCCTAGTCCTATTCTATAGGATCAATTGTCAAGACTAATCTCCTGAGCCTGAATATGGTAGAGAAATATAGTGCCTCTAGCAAAACTATGATTAATTAAGGCAAGGAAACAAGTAGAAACAAGAGTTACACACCCTGCCTAGTTGTCTCTTTCTTCTTGTTACTGTATGAAAACACAGGTGTCTTCTGGTATTTGGTATAATAGATTTGTTCATATACAGAATTCCTGTGTAAATCATTTTTCCTTATAGTTTTCATTGAAAAAAAATGTAGATGAATAAAAGAAAAAAATACATATAAAGCAATTAGGGGAAAGAGATAAAGCAGAAAAGAAAAAGATTATATAAAGGATGACTTCCATTCTTCTCTACAGTAGTCACAAGTAACCTTATTTTCTCTCCTCCTCTTTTAGCTTCCATACATACCTTCCTATATTCAATCCTTTTTAATTAAGAAAAGCAAAAATCACCCAAGGCATTTTAACTGTTTTTTTTGGGGGGACGGGCAGTCAATTAAGGGTTTTCAACATTTATAAAGGTACTTATTTTATCCCTGATCAAACAAAACAATTTTGCATTCTTTCCTTGTCAAGTATCTTCTAATAGAAGCTTCTTTGGGTAGAATTATCTTTATATTAAATTACTGTGGTATAACTTGATCTCTTGTCACCTTCCTGGCCAAGTGCAGGATCTGGCGCACGCTGTCCATTTCTGTGTTCACATCTTCTCCTTTTCATACCATAAATTATATTAGAATTTTGACAGTCCTCTCCTTAGTGCATTCCCAAGGTTGTTTCAAAATCATTCTCAGTCTCAAATGAACTTTTTCTTCTCTTGATTCCAATGATGATATATTCCAGGTCTTCATTCCTCAGGCTGTTTTCTGGGATCTCCATTTTTTCTTATATTTGTTTACCATTCTTGAAGCATTCATGACTTGCATACTACTCGTATGATATCTATTCAGGGGTGGGATTCAAATGTTTTAACAACCAGTTCTGTGGGCGTGGCATAGTTGGTGGGTGTGGCTTGGTTGTCATGTTATTGGCTAGGTGTGGCCAACTCAATATCACTCACATCGAGGCATGCATCTCCTCGCCTGGCCTCTCATGACTGTGGGGATGCTGCAACAGTCATAAGTGTGAAAAATGGTCATAAGTCACTTTTTTCAGTGCCATTGTAACTTTGGATGGTCATTCCACACAAGCAAAGTACCAGCAAAGGAGGGGAAAAAATTCCAGAGACGTTCCTGAGACAGGAAGTCTAATCCTGCCAAGAATGTAATAAGGATTAACGGAGAGGCAGTTTCTGTAAGCAACAACAGAATGTTTCCTTTCTGCCTTCCTTACAGGATTAGGCCAATAATTTCTTCTAACAACCAGTTCTCCGAACTGCTTAGAATGTTAACGGTTCTGGCAAATAGGTGTGAACTGGTAGAATCCCACCCCTGTATCTATTATACTGTATATCTAAATATATAATTATTACACCAAATTCTGTATCATAATCTGTGTCCTCACATCCTATTTTAAAAGGCTCTTGATCAGATACTTCTATTTCCGTTAAAAAAATACTTCTTCTGCACAATATTTTGAGCTGCTTTTGCTTTTCTGAATAACATTTCAGAATAAAACGTGACATGTTCATAAACATTTCTGCAATAAACAATTTCATGCATAATTTTTACAAATGTATTAACTTATTTCACCTCTACTAGGATTCTTCTGGATTTCTTTTCTCTTTCCAAATATATATGTATTCAATATAAAATGTTGTTGTATTATTTTCAGATTATCTTCAAGTATTCCCCTGTTCCACCATAGTTCCATATCCTGAACCTCATACAATAAAAATGCATAAAAACGTGGATCAAAATTATCTCTCAATCTTAATCTTATTAAAAACTCCAGCTTCACTTAATCATATCACTATATCTTTCACATGGATGCTGCTTAACTATAGAGTCATATTTCCATAAAGAAAAAATGTATTCTTGACTCTCTCCAGAGATATATTCAAGTTACACTGAATTAACATGATGCTAAAGACATAAATGATGAGCTGCTAACTTCAAGTAGTCCTGATCCAAACATTAAAAATAAGGCTTCATAATACAACAATGAGTACCGATTCTTTCCTAACACAACTATAATGAGGAGAATCTGCAAAGCAAGATTGATTTCAGAATCTTCCTATGGAACATGGCACTCACTATTGGCAGGAAGGTATAAATATGGGGAGGGCAGAAAGTGTGCATTCCTTGTTTAGCACAGTAAAACAAATGAGCTCATAGATTTCGTATCAGAAGAAAGATAAAATACAGATTAGTCTTTACAGCCAGGATATACTTACTTTTAAGACATGTTCACTATTATCTTACAAACTAAAGACCACTTTCAAGTGGCATACAAAATACATTGCAAAGCCACCACTTATCTTGGAAAGGATAACACAAAACGATATAATATTTGAAGACTTAAGAGAAAAAGAGCCAGCAAACTACACTCCGATTAGGAAGAAAAAAAAAACCCTACCTTTATCATAAAAAATTATAGGCAATGTCACAAGCCAACACTTATTTTGTAAATTAAACCATTAAACCACCAAGGATGCAGTCACAGATCATTGGGTACCTACACTCCTGGCTGGATGTGTCATGCATGGCATCATTTGAACCAATGCCCAATGAAAGCAGAAAATGGAGTTGCCTCACAGCACATTCAAATGCCAGCATTTGCATTAATGTAGTACTGTAAATGATATCTACATACAGACAAAACACAATTTTGATATGTAAAAAACCTCCAAAGCTCTTTTGTTTAAATTATGGACTCCAGCCTATAAATGGGAGGCATCTTGTACAAGAAAGAATAAAATATTTTCCTTTCAGTGGTTACAGGGGAATTGCAAAAGACAATCAAGTCGCCATATGCCAAAGGAGCTGCTTTTATATTCCCTTTAAAGTAGAGCTGCAGCTGCTCTTCTGGAGCCATTAAAAACCCAGCAGTGGGGAAGAAAGAGCAACTGGAGGGCTAATTCCCACCTCCCAAGAGGCAAGGAAGACGCTTCCTTAAGCACACAGTGGTCAAGACCCCTCCCCAGCAACCCTATCCATAAATAACAAGTGACACATGTGGTCTAATGTAATCCCCCTGAGAAAAGGGGAGCCTGCCAGACTCAAAGGAAAAGCTTAGGCATCTACTACCTGGGGAAAAGCTGTCTGCAGCCACAAATTGAGGGGGAATGGAAGCAAGCTAAAGGGAAAGGAGGGTTTACCTAGAAGAGATAAAAATAAGGTGGCAGATTAAAAAAAAAAGAGGCACATTCTCCGGACAGGGAGCATTTTGGGACAGAGAAGGTTTATGCTACTACACCATTACAATCCTCCCCACTAGAAGCCAACCTAATTTCCCTACATAGGGAAGAAACAACAACCCTTTCTAAAAATCGTGGAACCTTTTGATGAAGATCTTCCTTTCCGGGCTTGATTTCTTTTTCATTTTTTTTAAACTGAATGAATTCTAGCTTCCTGGCCTTACCCATCCACCTAAAGGCAAGCACTGAGATGGATCTGAGGCAAAGGATGCGACGGGGAGAAGGCGACGGGAAAAAGGGCCGAGATGGCCGCAAACTGTCAGAAAACAAGGAGGCCGTTTACATAATTGCGGGACGGAGGACAGAGGGCCCCAGGAACGAGTAGATGCTCTCTGATCCTCTGCAAGCCTCGCGCATCCATCCAGCCTTCCAAGCGCCAGACAGCCATCCGCCATCCTAGAGGAAAGCCAAATCCTACAAGGGAAAAAGGAAGCGCGAACTACTGCTTGCCGAGGAATCAAACGAAGAGAGGACCGAAGCAGATCTAAAGGAAAGGGAATGGCTGGAGGGAGGGAGAAACATCCCTCGCAATGCCCCAGGCATCCGAACGGTGCAATGGGACGCCGAGGATGCCATTCAAAGTCAAATGCTGGCGGCATTTGGGTCGCAGGGAAGAAAACCTTTGGCCAACCTCCAGGGCTGAAAAGACAGCACCTACCTGGAGCAGCCATGGAGGAAGGCGGTGTCGATAAGCCGGGCCGCTGCTGGGGACGCCTGGTTAAGCCGACGGCGCTGGTGGCGGCCGCGAAGCCCGGGCGGCTCTTCAGCAGCAAGAGGAGGAAAAACGTCGCGGCGGCCAATCCCAGCAGCGAGGAGGTCGGCGGACGCCCGCGAATCCCAGGCATGGCGGGTAGCCGGAGAGCAGCGGAGGCATATTGCGGGCGAGGAAGAGCGGCCAAACGGCGGGAGCGCAGCCGCCCGGCCGCAGCTGAGCCACCGAGACACGAACGAAGCAGTTCCCGACTCCTTCACGCCTCCGCGCCGGGGGCAGGAGGCGGCTCTCCTGCAACCACGTGACACGGAGGGAGGAGGCCGAGGGAAGACGAGTCTTCCCCCGGGGGAATTGTTTTATCGACCCTCACCTGTGCGTCGTTTGGTTTAGGGAGGTTCCCCCCCCCGCCTTTCCTGGAGGTCACCTGGTGCCTTCCAGATGGTTTGCAAGTTAACACCCAGCACACTGTTCCCGACGACGCGAGATCCTGGGAGTTGTAGTTCGAAGTGGCTGGAAAGCTCCACTTAGATTTGGTGTGTGTGTGTCTGTTTGTCTTGCTGTTTTGAGGCAACCTGCTGTCGTTTCTCTTGGCCTTTTGGCGAATATCTTGTTGTCCAGAAATGGCATCAGGGTGCCCCTCCCTCGCCAAAATGCATAAATGCCTCAGGTGAATAAGGTTGGGGGCCTCAAAGATCAAGCATGGAAAATATACTGGTTTCATATTTTAACCTGGAACTCCCCTGGAGCCATAATCAAGTAATAGATTATGTCCGCTCATATGGGTTTTATCTTAGCTATTGGATCTAATCATTGTTAGCTCTGCCATGATGCAAAAACAGGTCCAAGTACAGATCCTGTTAACTGTGAGGCATTCGAATGAAAACTTAAAATCAAAGGCTGCATTTGCAAAGAATGAGTCACCACAATCCCCAATAGTTGATGACATCACTATGACACAACTCCAAAGATTCAAATACGCTGTGACTCACAAAAAATTCCACGTTTATACATCAAGTTCCAAATAACTTGGCAGCTAGCAACTTTTAACATCAGTGTGGCATAAAATGTGGATTGGATTCGCCTGAAATCTCTAAAAACAGGTCACAAATTTTGACAGCAGTCAACCACCAGAAGTACAGATCTGAGAATTCTAACATTACAGTGAAAGTGATTTATTTGTGAGACATGAATCCTCAGTCTTTTTTTTCAACAGGCATAAACCGACCAGTCACAACTGATACCATTTGGTTCTACAGCCAGGGTGTCAAACTCGCATTGTCATGTCATGTCCTTACATGGCGTATCACAACGTTTTTCCCCTTCACTAAAATGGGTGGTTGTGGCCAGTGTGTGACGCATTCGGCCTGTGGGCTGTGAGTTTGACACCCCTGCTCTACAGGGATACATAATGTTTACTTTATTTTGGATCCACCAGAAACCACAGAACATTATCTTTTGCCTTATGCCAAATCTGTAAGTAGCCATGCTCGTTACAGATTGGGCAGCTTTTATCTTCCTCTTTGCAGCTGATATTTCAAGGTCTGCTGCCTGCAGTTCCAGAAGCAGAGCACTCATCAATGCCCTATTAATTTGTTCTGTTGGTCAACAGGTCATGAAGATAATGGTCTTCAGAAGAGTTAGGTCTACAAATATCTATGTATGTTATCATGGGTAATCACTTCTGCCTGCCGCATCTCCTGCCTCCTACCCCACTTACTCACTCTAAGCTTTTAAAATATATCTCTGAAGCTTGTGCTATATTGTTAGGAACAAATTTCACTTTAAATATTAAATCCCTGCCCGGATCCACATTTTTCTGCATTACAAGGACACAAAAAAGCCTTTGCATTTATGATTACATGTAGACTGATCTTGTCCATGACTTAGAAGTTATTGAACTGGAAACAAGATCCTGATTTCAAGAGGAAAATAAGATTTATCAAAACAAATAAAGGTTAAAAAGAAAAAAACCCAATTAGAAATAACATATTCTACCATGACAGTCATCTGAGGATTCTTAATTAAAAAGTAAAATTACTGATCTAACATTATTAACATTAGCGTTTGCTCCCAAGGAATGAAAAATAATCAGCATCACTTTGATTTTGAAAATGGATGGTGAGGGCACAGAAAATTTGGAGGCATAATAGCAATAGCCCTTTATAGCCCTCTCTAAGCAGTTTACAGAATCAGCCTACTTTGAAGTGGCCATTTCTGACCACCGCTGCAACCGCCTTCGGGAAAGGGAGTAATGGTCAGCTGGGAAGGAGAGATGCAGCTCTCCTCGACCCTGCTGGCGATCTCCCCCTTTTTCACCATCTCTACAGGGTGGCTTTTTTCCAAAACCAGCCGGCTCGGGCGCTCCGGCGGTGAGCACAGATAGAAACTGTGCACAATTGCAGATTTCGGTCCTTCCCTGAAAAAGCTCAAACCGGAAGTCCCTTTGCAGAGAAGGGACCATTTAAGCTTTTTCTTGCCTTGTGAATTCAGATTTCTTTTAACTCAACACTGTATACATGGGCACAACATTTTATTAATGTTGTGTACGTGAACTTTAAAAAAAATGGTAAAATCATTCTTCAAAGACTACTGAATAAATACAGCAGCTCTGGAATAAAAGAATAAGTCCCCAAAACCTCGAAGTAGAAGACAGGGATAAATTAACAATTTCAAATGGAAGAGTCGTTCTGCATGAGTTGTTCTGCAAGAGTTGTTCAAGCATGGACTTTGGGGCATGATTGTAAAAGAGCTATACTAAAGAGTGAGCAATGACCTGGGTAGGTTTACTAATGATCCCATATTGCCCTGGATAGTAAATAAAATAAGAATTGCAATGAAACCCTTAGGGAACACTTCAAGCTGGGTGAATGCTTGCTTTTAACTTTGAGCAGAAGCAGGAAAAAATAGAGATGGTAGATGTATATCATACATCATACACAGAAAATGTACATAGTGGATGTGCCCTGCCACCAGGCCTCATAATATTAGAACTCTGACTCATCTATTAAAAAACAATGCAAGCAAGTCAGAAGTAGTAAAAGAAAATATTTTACACAATGCATTGTTAAGCTATGAAATCTGCTGTCATCAGATGTGGCTAGGTCAGCAGTCCTGGACTAGACAAACATAAGAAGAATCAGGCTATTTGGACGTGCTCCAGCATGAATCACAGACAGTGACCTTCATAGACCAGCTAGCAATATGTGGAAGAGAGCTATTGCTTTCTATTTCAGGGATCCCCAAATGCCAGTCTGTGGTTCTCGGCCCATTCAAAACTGGGCCATGGAAGTGGTGGGTGAGGGTGCATGCGCGCAAAACCACCCCCCTCTCCACCACTGCTGCTGTCTCCACCATGAGCTGAAAAGATTGGGGGACGCTGTTCTATTCTATGTTTGTAAACTTCATGAATTCCTTCGACACGACTCTCCATTTATATGACATGCTGGACTGAAACCATTATGCCATGATACAGCCCTTTTCAAGGTTAGGTCACCTCCACAAAATGCAGTATGACCCATGTTGCAGTTGGAATGTTCTTCAGTTTAGGAGTGTTTTGAGGCATTTTTTGTGCATTACTGTAGTTAAAAATAGGGCTTTCTCTGAATATGACAGATATGCGTAATAATAATATTTCTTTTTTTTTTTCTGGTTAGAAAGCCTGAACTTCTAGAAAGTAAAGGGTTGAGGAAGATTGCTTTTGTCATTGTCTGAAGTGCACACCATGAGGAACTTACTCTCTGTTATAATTAATTAGGTTAATGAGACAGCAGGCTGATCCCCCACTAGCAAACTCAAGCAGGCTTTTTCTAATCTAATCATCACCATCAGCCGCTGTTGTTGCAAGTTGGCTTTGCTGGAAGCATTAGAACACAACTTTAAAAAAATAAATCTCTCACCTTCCCATTAGCCAAAGTGTGGGGAAAAATTAGTGATTGTTTGCCAAAGAGATTTTCTATTAATTTAAAACTGGTGCTTGGTAAAACTGTATTTTATTATCCATAGAAAGCATTTGATTTTTGTTTCCAAGAAAATACAAGAGATATTCCACTGAGATTGTTTAGCAAAAATGACTGTGTGTTGTTATAGCTGTGGCAGTTATAGCTTGGAGAGTCTTTTTGCAACTTTGTGTTGTGTACCAATTGTACCTTGTGCTCAGTCACTCATGCCTTTGTCATCTTGTTTGTATTTCTGCAATGCCATCTACATGACAAGAGTATTTGTAAGCTGATTCGGAACACAACAGTACAGGCAGTAGTGGAGACTTGCACATGGAACACTGCTGCTGTGCCAGCCTCATTGGTTGCCAGTTTGCTTCCAGATCAAATTTAAGGTGTTAGTTAGCCTTTCATGGCATGGAACCTGGTTATCCGAGGAACCATCTTGCTCCTACAGGATGAATCCACCCTACTTGCTCCAGTAGAGGAGGTCTTCTACAGATCCCAATGACCAAGGAATTTCAAATGCAGGAGTTGAGATCAAGCTCCTGAAGGCTTCTGTCCTCTTTGCAAAATGCTTTCCCCGCAGGCAACAGTGGCCTGTAGAGGTGGAAGAAAGTATTTTGCAAGAGTCAGAAGCCTCCAGGGGCAAAGTCTGCTTCTCTCACAGATACAGATGTCCCAAGTTGTAACAGGAAATATTGCAGAGAAAATTGGTGGAGCATGAGGAATTATTCAACAGGTTGAAGAGTACAGAAGCAGAATTTAATTTAATAACTAATTTGTAATAATCATTATACATTACAAGAGCATAAACCATGCCAGTGCCATGGAGTTTTCATCATTGTGTTTTCCCTCCACCGTCAGTGGCTCTGTAGAGTAATTTCTGTTGCACAGAGATTGGGATACATAATACAGGAATTATGGCTAAAAAGCTCTATGCTAATTCTGTTCATTCTGAAGTACTGAACACAACATCTTGGACTAATTCTGTTCCTTCAGGTTGGCCATTGATATATCTGGGCAGAAAAGTGTATAACATAAGCTTTATGTTCCACCGAGCACTGTCAAAATAGCCCAGTCATTCATAGTTTAAAAAATATATTTCAACAGTCAACTATGCAAGCGAAGCTATTTGGAAAGGAGATCCAGTGAGTAAAATTTGTACGTACAGAATATGAATGAAAAGTGGCTGATGTGCTTGCAGTTTCTTACATTCAAAATTTCATTTATTCAGATAAGTGTTCATTCACTAATACAAGCACTTCACAAGTAGAACACACACA